CTAACGGCAATGCAGGGTGATATGCACAATCGTCAGGCTGCTAATGGATACTTAAATATTCTTACTCTTCAATATGGAAACAAAACAGTGATCTATTCTGAGTGAACTAGAAACTAATATCATTACCAATATGTCACATCTTTTTTCTCTTATATCTAAATATTGTTAAGTGATTTTCCTGACACAGTGTTAAAACATGGTTGAAAGGTATGTTTGAATTGTGCAGTTCAATTCTTTTAGGAAAACATTGTATTTGCTTGTATCCATATATTCGTCTGTGTATTCTTATACTGTATATGTATTAATGGGTTATTTTAAGTTTAGTACACTTTAACTGTAACTCTGAGAGCTAATTTGATGGTCCATCTTTTATTGGTTCTGTTATATATATAATGTGTATTTGCAGTATATGGTTTTATGAAATATAACCCAAATTGTTCCTCATCTAGGTATTCCGTGAGATATTATGTTTGCAAGACGAGAAATGCTGAAAAGTCCCTCCACTCTGAACTCTAGACTAGCTTCCTTTAGAGGGTCCTAGGCTAGGTGTTCATTTAATTATGCTATTGCAAAACACGACAACAAGATGCCTGGGACTGTTCACAGTGCTAGCAATGGACATAGCAGAGAACTTTACTGCCATTACCATGCTTACTAAAAACAAAATCTTTTTATATGTGGAGTATATGCCTGCTAGACCAAATCCAAATTCCTTGCATTTAACCTTGATTACCCTGATGACCTTCACTAGTAGGCATTGCAGGAGAGACATTATATTTCCTCCCTTCTGCTTGCTCTAACACAATACTGGCATGGATCCTACAACTGTAGCTGCCCTGAAAATGCCACTGAAACATTCCTAGAACAAAACCAGAACTTCTAACTTCCTGATTGCCCTTGCTCTTTCCAAGTCTCATTGAGGAAGATCACTGCTGGCTCTTTATTTTAATACCTTTTGCCAAAGTATAAATATGACACAGTAGTCAAGTGATCAAAAGCATCGTTCCAGATTTTAGGCACTTCAAGCAGGTGTGAGTTTGAATCTTGCTCAGGACTTTATGAAGGACTATATGCTGAACACATATCATATCTTTTTAAGTCAAATAATACCACAGGTATCTGTACTTGTACGACTGTTTTTCCTAATTTATACTGTATCAATGATCTAGATTAATTTATAGATGATAACAAATTAATAGGATTGGCAAACACTGTAGAAACAGCCAAAGAATTTCAAAAGAATTTACTTATTTAAATATTTAATTAAAAGGGCTAACTTGTTACGACATATAGTTAAAAGTATATAATTTAAATCAAAGGATGTTATGTTCAAATGGTATAATTCAGTAGTATAAAATTTAGAATATTTTATACAGTGTTGTCACCATCTTATAGTAAAGATATTGCTGCTCCTGAATCAGTCTAGAGAGGATTTACCAGATACATTCTATACTAACAGGCCGAAGGAACTGAACCTTTTTTGTGTTCAACACAGAAGTCTATAAAGGAACCTAATACAAGTATTCAAAATCAACCCAGTGGGTTTCATAAGAATAAACATTGAAAATATAGTGGAAACGATATGAAAGAGTGTTTAGAACTGACAACAGAATTCTTTACGCAAAAGGTTGTTACAATATGGAGAAAACTGCCCAGCCCTTTTGTTGAACATGATACCCCGGCTTTATTCAAGAAACAGCCGGATGAAATGCTCAATTAGCTGTTCACTTCCAAACAGGATAGAACGGCTGAATGTCCCGTCTCATTTGTAATTGTTAATATGTTCTCAATTGACTTAAGAACTGAAGCACAGTTCCTAATTATGAAAATGAATGACCGTTTTTTTCCCTGCTATTGAATATACATGCATGTCATTATAAATCCTCAAGGTGTAGTCTAAGGTGGCATAAAAGATAAGATAAAAAATAACTTTTATGTGTATCACAGTTCTGTACACAAATATCGAATAAAACGCTATAAAATCCAGACTAACCATGTAAACCTATTTATAATTTATTGATGAAACTGGGTTATTTACAACATTTTTTTCAGCTTGCCCTCTCTTACAGTTTTGATTTTTTAAAAGCTATTTCATTCACATGTCATGTTCTACAAAGTTAAATCAATAATGACTATCATGATAAATATAAATATGAAATAAATGCTATTATACTGGACCTGTCTATAAATAATACTGACATTAATAATTTAGCAGTAATGGTGATGATACAATTGTATCTTTTTCATGCATCTAATCCAAATAAAGGAATTTTGGCATCACAGAAAGATGCCAAGATACTGCAGATATTATTGGTTGTAGGGAAAAATATGAGTGTATTTAAAACAGATCCATTTGTCATTTACATTTTATTGTGCTGTGCAATGAAACTGATCCACCTATTTCATTAATGTTTTCAGTTAAGTTTATAGTAAGATTATAATTTAACATTTATACTGGTTTCCCCAGTAAATCATTGTACTGCATACAAATAAACCTAAATGTATTATTGTATTTGTTTCTGTGCTCCCTTTCTGACACAGGAACACAGGATATCTAATTAGTGAGTCTGGGTGCAAACATTCCTATGCATATGAAATGCCTCATTTTATGTCTGTTCATTAAAATATCCACTCACTTAAAAGAAAGTGACAAAGTAATAAACTGGCAGTGCCAGTAATTAATATTACTTTACAGCACTGTGTCGTGAAATGACAATAGAAATTAACCAAATATTACGTGGCTTTCTCCTGCCTGGGTTTATTTCACTATTACTATTCCCCGTTGCCTTGTGTTAAGAAATATTTGTGCTCAGTGCTCTAGTCAGTTAGCCACTGATGTGATCAGACTGAGTCCTACAGCAGCCTGTGATTAATCACATACTAATTGGATCAGGTCTTCTGTGTGAGCATGCCATTAACTGCATGCAAATCATTATTATTTAAATCGTTACTGGTTCAGATATTTCTCCAAGGAAATGAAACACAAAAGAGATTAGTAAAAACATGGGGGATACGTATTATGGTTTAGTTGAATAACATCTATTAATATCATTCAAATATGGGGTTGGAACAGTAGACATTCTTCCATTTAAATATCCTTATATTACTTTGTTGCCCTGAGATTGCTTTGGTTTCTTATTAAACATGTTTGTGCAGTAAGAAACCTGACTAACCCAAGAGCCTGATCAAGCTTGAACATCACTTTCAAAGTGAATCAGCATTGTTTTTCAGAGAGCAATAAAGGTCTTTTTAAAGCACTGCTGATATTAGCATAAAGAGGCTGCATTTTCCCAAAAGTTTTACATGGAAAATTAACATTTTGAAATATTTGAATTACACTTTAAATTTCATAATGTTATTGTACTATTAATGGAAAACAGTAACATAAACAGCCATACATGTAGAACTTTAATTGACCTTATGAAGGTATGAATGTATTCTGAACATGCCCTGTATGCCATATACTGTACATTTGTATATGCTCATAATAAGACGGCTCACAAGATACCAAGGCAACAAAACACTTGGAATGCCATATTGTGCAAGCTAAAGGTAAAATTTTAAGCTAAGCAGCATCGTAATTACCAATTCATATTTATTGTAAAACAAACTTGTTTTAACTTTGTGATTTTCAGAAATATATTTTACCACCTTTGACTAAAAGCAGCAGAAAGAAATTAAAAGATGAGAAAATGACATTGACTGAACTAAATAATTGTGCACATTTTAGTGTTGTTTCTTATGTTGTTTTATCCAATTATTAAATTTTACAACAAAGGAATGCATTAAACTTCCTGTATTTAAGACACAGAGAACAAGTCCCAATGAACTATAAAACACAAATATTGACAATAGTTGTGTGTGTCTGTGGTTTAGTTGATAAAAAATACAATGTTCATTGTTGCTGAGCCAAGATTACAAGGACTCAAATTAGAATAAAAAAAAAAACGAATTGAGTTTCAAATGAGTATTGGGGATTAGAGCACAACTGGCTATAAATCTTGTCTAATTAATACATATATATATATTCAGTCTTTTCTTAATGGAAGCTGCTGACGTCAAGTGCACATCCACTCTTACTCTGTAGTCTGTATACCATCACATGTTTTTGCCAAACATTAAAGGTAAAGCTTTTAAGATAAAGACCAGAATCAATACTTAGAATCAAACAGTGTTGAAACCCACTCAAAATACATTTGCTTGAGAATCAAAATGATCCACAGGACTCTAGACAGACCTACATTGCCCATATACCTTTAATAAGTTGCATACATTTAAAAGAATAATACTTTAAAAAAGGTTACAGTTCAATCAGGCCTTTCTCCTGTTTGACAAGTGTCAGAGATTAATTTGCTTTTCTTTGGAGAGCTTTGTAATAAAACTGACATTGCCCTTTAGATATGCTAATTCCTATTGAAAATGAAAGCCAAAAGAAGCTGATCTTTATATAGCAGCCCATCAAATACATTAAAGGGTCAATGCTAATAAAAACAGATGTAGCCTACGCTGAAATATGTTACTGATGTTACAGGGGCTTTGCAAATTTATATACTGTATATACACAACTGTATAGGATTGACAGCATTTACTTAATAATATTTTAATATTTTTAATTTTTTATTGGTGTGGATTTTGACAAATTTAAAAACCTTTTTTGTTCTTTAATATATTGTAGCGTTTGCAGGTTCTTTTCAGAACTAAAGAACAGTGAAGACGCGATTAACCAACAAAACACTAGCTTTATTTGTTAACAACCACACAAAAACCAAACACAGGATATACACACACATGAGGAGACTGACAGAACACATACACATCTTTAGGGTGGTATTTACCTAACAACACACAATACTTTTACAGGACTACACAGGGCACTAAAACTACTAGGACATTATTTACACAGGTAGGGTCAGCTGCTGGTCATCGTGCTGACCCTCAGACCCTCCCCGGCTACCACTCCCAACATGCCCAGCGGTACTACGAGCGCCTAGGGGCGCTTCCTCCTCACCACCAGGCGAGGGCATTACAATATTATTAGACGACTTATTTATTCCAGGTATACTCAAACAATTAGGCATTCAGGAATAATATGTATGCTTGGGATACTAATTTCCTTAATAAACACCTTATTACATTACATTAACTTTCTTAACTGTGAATTGGGCTACATGAATTTCCAAATATACCATAATGCAACCTAGCATTGGGTATTGTTTTAATACCCTGATATCATTAGTACATAAACCAATGGGTAATTGACTAAATCAAATTGATGTTTACATTTCTGTTAATATTCTGGGGAAATGAAAACAAGGAGCCAGTATATCCAGAACTTGCACCCCAAAAACTCCGTTATAATGCCCCAATATTGTCAACATAGCATTGTACCAAAACAGCAGGTAATTGAAGAGAGGGAGCAGAAAACCTTTATCAATGAAATAATGATATAACAATTATGCATAGCAAAACCATTAGCTTCATTAACATAACACTTAGACTGAAAGCAATTTCCACTGTATCCAAAATAACTTTTTATTTTTTATAAATTAAATGTTGTGAACATTTAACAATGCAAAAAGAAATTCCATCGCTCAATTCTAATTGATTTAATCAAAAATTGATACCAAACAAAATTAAAGAAAATTTGAACAGTTACAGATCAAAGAATCAATTTTCCATATGAAATATGACACACTATCAGAATGAAAACATTACAAGTTTAGTATCTGCCTGATCAACCTGAGCATTAGCACAATCCTGGCAGTGTTGACAGAAAGATCCAATGGGACTCTGGATAATGTCCTCAGGGATGTTCTGCCACTCTTCCAATGTTCTTTCTGCAAACAGACAAGGCCTCTGGTTGACTTGAACAATGCAGCAGTCATTAAAATGTTTAACAAAACATCCAAACCTGTTATCTCCTGTCAGATCTGTAAAAATGGTAATCATCAGTGAATAAAGCTTTCCACAGTTTTCTTGAGTGCAATCATCTCTCAGCTGTTAACATTATTCTTAAATGACAAGAGAGTATTGTCATTTAAAATGTTCACTGTAGACATGAGCAGGAGGAGCTGTAATCATTCTATGGTCAACAATGGACATTAAAGCTAAAGATAAAGAGTGATAGAGCAATATACAGTTATAGGCACTCCTGACACTCTTCCTTCCAGGATGTGTGGTCTGTCCCTTTTAGAGCTGACTTCCCTTTTTCTGGACTAGTCTCCTGATTATTCAAACAACACATTTCAATGCCACAGCAAATTCTCTCTCAGACCATCTTCAGACATGCTGAGAGTAGTCAACTGGGCATAGTCTTATCTTATACAGTACATAAAATCAGTTCCTGCTCATTGCCCTTTCGAACCACCCTATTTCTATTACTAATTAGATTGATCTCAGATGGCCATACTTTCCCATACACTGCTCTGGAACATATATAAAGTTAGGGACTTACTACTAGCTCCTACCCCTCATCCACAATGTACTTAATAAGCAGGCTTCAGCACCAAATGTTTTCTGGGCACTTTTGTGATTGGCACAGTGTCCTTCACTAATAATCAAGGAATCCCAGTTGTGGAATTTTAATCTCTTGAGCACTAGTACTCAGAAATCTTGAGGATTACTCAAAATTCAAACCTAATCCTCTTTAAGCAAGCTCAACTAATTCAGCAATCCTGCTTTGGTGATCACTGGGTTCTCATTCATTCCTCTTCTTCTCCCTCATTCCTCATTCAAGCATTATACACTGGAATGTATCCTGAACCTTTTCTCTCTCTGTTTGATTTAGAAATTCTACTACCTTGGAGACCCCATTTTTATCTTACTTGGAAATGGTTGCATCTGGTATCCGTATTCTCGATCATATTCTATCGTTAGTTTTAGTAACTTCAGAATTCTGCATTGGCATTATGAGATCTTTTTCATTTCATTTTAGCTCTGTCCTTATGAACAGGTTATCAATCACTAGCCAGGCAAGTTACCCCAATGAAGGTCTTTTCTCTCTAAATTAGCGTTTGAAGAAAATTCTTTCTTTCTGAGTGGGTATTCCACAGAAAGAATATTCAACTCAAATACAACTAAAAAAACTACAAAATCGAAGCACTTTATATTTTTATATAATCAGATGACTTGAACTCAGTATTAATATATGTTATCCCTTAATAAACATACTATGCTTAAACATTTAAAACTTAAACAATCAGTAAACCACTTGTTCCCTACCTGCAGGTGACATTATGCATGTGCCCAATGTGCTTTTCAAGTAAGACTGTCACATTTTGTGTACATTCATATGTTTGGTAAAAAAACTGCTACGTGTTTGCGCACAACTATTCATTCCTATAGGGTTACCATATTTGAACAACAAAAAAAGAGGACAACTTGAGGAACTATTGCCTTATCTGGGAAGGGGGTAGGAATGGAGAGGTTTTTCAAAATATCCCATGTTTTATGTTGGTAAATTGGTAAATCTACCTGCATATCAGGTATTAGTACAGAAAAGTTCTGTACCTGTAAATAATAATATCTAATAATTACTAATTACTTTTTCTCCAGCTTATCTCCTCAGTTGTATAGAACTTTACTTTTCTTCCCCTTGATGTGCCCAAGCATATTTCTCTGTAAATCAGATTTTTCTCAGAAATGTTTGATTACCCATGAGGAAGGAATGGAAGTTTTTGCATGATGTTTCTTTGAAGATGAACTGTACCAGCAGAATGCCTTTCAGAGATTCGACTGTTAAGTTACTTCTCTCTTTTGTCTGCTGGCTTTGCATTAGTGAAAATACATACATACATAAATAATGCATTTGCATTATGAGAAGATATTGCAAACAGGAACTGTGCAATTTTTAACATCTCTGAGTGACACTCAATGTTTTTAGATTTTCTGTCCACTTTTGATGGGCCAGCAAACTAGTGAACTCTCCATCACTCTTGTTAATTTCTGCAAATTTCCTTAGGTTGCTAATTTGATCAAAGCATTTCACGTTGTCAGCAGGTATTCCTTTGTCAATCAATTATTTGATACATGGTTCCACATCAGTCCAGTTCGGTGTTTCACTCAGAGCCATCCAATGAAAACAAGAGTCTTTTAGGGGCTTAATCCATTTCTCCAAATATTCTATGCAACTACTATACAGGTTATCTACTTCAGCAGAGAATCTGTCACTCTGTTTCTCCACACATCCATTCCTTCTGCACCTTTCACTTTCAAGGATATAAAACAATGTTTTTTTTTATTCAACAAGGATGGTGTTAACAGTTCAAATGTTTCAACACTTCAACAACAGAATTGCTTTCTCTTTCGATTTCTTGGTTGTGAGCTTGGAAAACACTCATTAATCCTATATTACCATTCATTAAAAACCCAAGACTCTGTGGGAAAATCAGGTTATTCTTCATAAAAATGGTTCCATTATCAAGAAAAAACATGAACAGCAGCTAATAAGCCAGAAGTAAAGTCATTTTCAAATTGTTATCATATCTGTACTAAACACACATATTATATTCTAAACAAGATGATTATTTATCTGCAATGCTCTTTAGAAGATTATTAGTGCCATTCGTTTTTTTGTTATTGTGTCATACAAATGACAGAGTCCAGGTGTCTGTGTCGGAGAAGTCTCTTTATTACATACAGTATGCATATGGGAGACCAGCTTTTAGGAACCAGACTCAAAAATAAGTAACAAAAGATGGTCTTTTATACCATGGAACAAACAAGCTAAAGTGACACTCCCCCTAATACTAATACAGAAATATGTCTATATATGGATATACATCACGTAAAGTTTATGCAAAGATTAGTGAAAAAACTGTTTAGCAAGCCACCATATAACTGTGTCTCAATGAGTTTACTTAGTGATACATGACAAACTGCTCAAATGAACAAATAAGCATAATTTCCCTGTATAAATGTCTGAGTGAAAATTTTATAATAATCTTATTATTGACTTATAATAAGAGACAGACTTATTGACAGAGACAGGTTCCGCTTTATGTTCTGGGTGTAAAGCCGGTTAGACCATACAAGTCTTATACATATTTTGTTCCTTCATTGTTAAAATAATTTTGCATTTAAATGAGATAATACTGTGTTAAAACAAGATACCTTTTGTGTTAAACAAAAAACCTTTTTGCATTTGGAAGATAAGACCACTTTATTGGCCATATACAATTTCTTGTATTACGAAATTGTCTTTTTGCATCCCCCAGCTTGCTCTCCATGAGACACACAGACAGGGAGAGAATCTTGGGGTCAAAGCTCAGGATCAGCCATTTATAAAGCACCTCTAAAGCAGTTGGAGTTAAGGGCCTTGCTCATGGGCCCAACAGAGTAGGATTCATCTGCCAGCTGTGGGATACAAACCGGCAACCTTCCAACCACACGCACAGTTCCTTAGCCACACAGCCACTGCACTGCCCCAGTACCTGAGTTAAGATACTGTACCTTTTGTGTTAAAACCTGATGAGGGTGCTACAATAGCATTAATTTTAACAGCAGAAGAATATTGACACACTCTTCTTTGTGCAAAAGAATTCTAAAGGAGTATGTGTACTACTTTTGTATACATGAAGTAGTAAACCCTGTCACTGAGCATTTGTGGGTTAAACGTATGTTGTGTTCACACATCCGTGAAAACAGAAATGACATGCCTTTACAAACAAAAGCTATTCTTGATGTGAAACTACATGAACATACATACAGTATACTGTACATAGGGTTTTTTCTAACCTTCAAACATTGAATGGAATATATTAACGATGACTTGACAGTAAGACTTACACCTGCTGTTGGCTTATGTTACTGTTGGTTAATAGGTGAATCTTTAAACACAAAAACCTCAACAGCTGTTATATAGCGTTATATAAAACCTTGCATAAATCTAAATATACCCTAAGATAGTCTTTACTTGTTGCACCGTGACAAGATGGAATGTAGCTTGCGGCATTTATAAAGGGAACCATGTGCGTGATACAGGTTGGTTTATTGAGACAGAGGCTGGTTGTAAAAGGGAGCAAAAGGGGCCATGTAGCTGACAGGATAATCAGAAAGCAGGACTTGACTGGAAACACGAAGTAGGATGCCTACTCGACAACCGAGTCCCAAACAGTGGTGGAGTGGAACATAAATACTGCGCTCCTTGACATGAACGAGAGGCAGGTGACTGGAAGAGCCTGCCGAATCTGGTGCGTGAGCTCCTCGTGCGAATGTAGCCATGGAGACTGGGGGCTGAAACCTCAGACTCACCTAGACATAACATGGCTTGCATGCACCAGTGCTGTTGAAACTGCTACCACCATTAGTTTTGACCTCCATAACAATATTGCCTTCTACCTCTATTTTCGCCTAACGGTTATAACTGTTGTAACTGTCCTTTACTTCTCTCGTTTAGATATTTACATTCAACATGGAATATTGAGTATAATACAATTTGGAGTATTATGTTAAAAGATCACTTATATTTTGTTAATGAGCTCTAATATAACCACTTTTTAAAATGTTAATAATAAAATAGAAGCAATAAAAAAGATAGTACTGTACATATCTAATGTATAATATCTTTACTGAGAATTGCAGGACAGTACAGAAGCTATACAAACATGATGTAGTGTATCACTCATTTTCAAATATTGTTTCAGTTATTTATTTTTTCATTTAAAATCTTTATTTAAAGATGTTATCATAAATGTTATAAACCAACAATGTAAATATACTGGCAATATTTTTAAAGCACCATAGAGTTGCTCTGGTCTTGTTTAAGAGTATGATACAATGTAATTTTTTTAATTGCATCAATTGCATTTCTTGTAATTTATTTAAACAGAAAACAATATGAAATTGGTATTTTCAGTCACCTTTAATTACAGAAAATAAATATATATAATAATACTTTATTAAGACACCTTAATTTATCTATCATGGGTTTCCTTTCACATAAAACCTTTGCATTTCAGGCCGATATGTCTGCCACATCATCACCTTAATTCAACCTCCTTATTCAAGAACCCTGGAGTTTTAAAAAGAAAAATTCATAAAACATTCTACTCTAATTGCACAGAGTGTTTGTTGTAGTTGTATATTACTTGGTACAGCATTGGATTCACTGTCAGAAGACTGAAGATTGCTATTTCTTTACTTATTCTATTACATTCAATTTCAGTCTGAATTGATTAAAAGGAAACCTGTTTTAAACATCTAATTGGACACCACAACGCATATAACTACAGTTCCTGAGGCAAAAAATATTTAAAAGCCAAAGGGCATAAACTTGACACCATGAAAAAAAAAGATTGTTAACATTTTACCTCAGCATTTACTCTAATTTTATCAAAGATAGAGTGTGCATTGAGTTTATGAATTTATAGGTTTTGAAAATATAAAAATATTAATGAGATCTGAGATTCACTGTGGCAAGGTTGTTCCTAAAAGTAAAAAGTGTCTTTGATATCTGTGTATTTTAGGCTCAATGAAAATGTGTTATTAATGTATTATTGTGACAATTTTAATTAGCTCTTGGACTATTAGTTTTATTGATATAAACACAGCCCATCTGTCAAGCTGGAAAATGAGACACTTCAATACAGTATTTGTGGACCTGATAGGTGAATTTTAAGTTTTCCAATGAGGAAATCTCTTTTATCCAGCCTATTTCATACATAACATAGAGCATAACATACCTGGAATTCTTTTTTAATTACCCAAATAATTCTATAGAATCTCAACAGATCCAATAATTGTTTTGGGTTTTTTCTTTAATTACTTATGTTAAAAAGTAATTATTTACTAAAATCTTTTACCACAAAGACCTTTAGGGCATAGCTATCCAGGGGAAAATAAATTTAATTATTTTTAGAAATATTTCTTTACTGGGAAACCCTTAATTTCCCCAGTATTATTAATGCATCGGTGTTTGTCCTTTTAGCTTAAGAGCTAATCACTTGGAACTAAATTCTCCCTTTCCTGCTCCTTGAAGATAGAAAAGCCAACTGGATCATTGATTAGTTAATTACTAATACTTACATTCTCTGCATCATCAGTTTAGATGGTTGTTCTGTACAGATCAGTGCAAGTGGGAGGAAGAGGCACTTGGAGGATGAGAGATGGTCTCAGAGGAAGCTGTTGTGGGGATCTAAATCTGCAGTTAAACATGGGAAGCAATAAAAAGCCATAATTGTAAGAGATAAAAATAGATGGTATGGGAAAAGGCTGGCATAGCTGTTAGCACTTCTGTCTCTCAGCTCTTGGGACGTTTCTGAGTCCAGAATGGGCTGCTTCCTGTGTGGAGTTTAAATGCTCCTCCTGTGTCCTGTGTTGTTTTCCTGGTGTTCCAGTTTCTTCATGTATCACATAGTCATGCTGGGAAGGCTAATTAGTATCTCTACATTATCTCTGCATGTATGTCTAGTGATGGAAGAGTGTCCCGACCAGGGTGTAGTTTTGCTGTGCATCCTGTTATCCTGCAGTCCCTGATGTTTCAGGGCCGGGGTGAACGACAAGCTGAGCTCCAAGTGCAGGTATTTAGAGGTGCCTTGTGGGTCTTCAGGAACGTTCATTGTACAGTAAGTGAGGCTATAACAAGTGATAATGAAGTAAATGATGCAGGGTGATTGGAAGGGAGAGAGGAGCCAAATACATAACAAGCAGGAAAATAAACTGCCTTAACTACCATGGAGAGGCTGGCTGAAAATTGAGCTGTCCACAATAAGTGAAGTCTCCCCACAGAATGAGATTCAGTCTTGTAGCGGTAGTGTAGAAGGTTGAGGAGCCATAGCTTAGGAGGTGACAGTGAAAGTCAAAAGTAACTGGATCCATGTATGAAATCCATCACCTGCCTGTTAGATCCCATTCCCAGCACTTTATTTTAATCCCGTTTCACCTCTCTCTGCCCCATAGTCCTCAACATAATAACTGAGTCCTTGATTACTGATGTGGTACCAACGGCCTTCAAAACCAAACATGGCTCTGGACAACCTAAACACTTTTTACACTACATCCAATCTACGCTTTCTTCCAAATATTTAGTTAAATAGTCATGTCAAAATACAAATGCAAATAACCTTTTTAAACCCCTCCCATTTGGTTTTTAACAACTACACAGCACAGCTTGGTTAGAGTCACTAATGATTTTCTTATGGTTTCTGATTCTGGTTCTTTCTATTTCTATTCTTCTGGACCTCGGTGTTGCTTTTAATGTTTTGTATTTTCTCAGCTTGAGACTGTTCAGAGTTTCTCACATTGGTCTTTAAAGATTTAAGTCTTACCTTACTGATCACTGTTATTTTGTCTCTCCTGGTGGTTTTAGTTCTGAAATTTTACTCGTTAAGTCTGGTGTTTATCAGTGATCAATAGTGGGCGCCCTACTTTTCAGTATTTGCATGAAGATGATACTCAAATCTATGTCTATACCAAACCTGACACTGATGTGACTGTACCTACTCTCTCACATTGCATCTCTCCCATAAAAACATGGATGACTCAAAATTTCCTTCATTTATATTGTAACAAGACTGAAGTTATGCTTCTCAACATGCCCCATCAACTATGTGAAGCTAATGCAATAACTCTGTTTGTGGATGGTGCTGTACTTGACTTTCAATCTAAATTTAAGAACTTAGGGATGATATTTGATCGACATGTACAACACGCTGTCAAAATATTAGTTCTTCAACCTCAGAAATATTTCCAAACTTCATCCTATGCTGTCACCAACTGTTGCTTAAAAGCTGGTCAACACTTTCTTTTCCTTTTCCTTCTCAATCTATATTGAATAAACTCCGGTATGTCCAGAATTCGGCAGTCAGAATCCTGACCAGGTCCAGTGCAAATGATAACAGTACTTCTCTCCTGGAGTCCTTGGAGTGGCTTCCTATCGGGTTTCATGTCGACTTCAAAATCGTCATGCTCACCTATAAGGCTCTGCATGGCTTGGCATCTCAGTACCTGTCTGTTACTAATATCCCACTGCCCACTTTGCAACATTCGTTCATCTAATTCTGCCCGCTCAAGCCCCAAGGATACTCTGTGGGTAACAGGGCTTTCTATTGCTGTGCTCCAAAGATTTGGAATTCAACCCCTTAGGATATCAGAGAGTCACCTTCCCTGAGATCTTTCAAATCTAGACTCAAAAATTTCTTTTTTAGAAAGGCTTTTATTTAACTGGTCTTTATGTACTCTATTGCTTTTCTATTGTATTCCAAACCCCCATCTACTGTCTCCTCTCACTATGGTTTTTTGTTCTGTAAAGTGATATATAAAACAACATTTATTATTATTAAAAGCAGCAAGGGCAGAATGACCCTTTCAATTCAGTACTCGGAATCAGAATGAAAAAAGCATTTGGTAGGTGACCATCCTTCAGCTATTATGAAGTTGCACTGAACGCTTATCTCACTGTCAGAGCACTGAATAAGAGGGGGACTTACATAGACCGCTCAACTGCTTGATGGATTTTGGGATGGTTCACCTGACTGAAAAACTGCTGGCCTTTGAGAGATGCATACTGAACGTATTGGGGTCAGAATAAGCCTGAGAGTCCGTTTGAACATGCTGGGTGCCTGGGGCAACACTGGAATGCAAGGTGCTCCCAGCCAGGTGTAACAAGCACATAGCCTGTACACTTTCATCAAATTTAATTGTCAAATGTGTGGATGTGTACATTGTTTTAAAAATATATTATAATTAGGTTGCATATAAACTCACTTTTAATTCATGTACTGACAGTTATTTTCATATTCCATTAAATTAACACTGCTGGGGGAACCACGCTACTAGAGTGCAGAGTCGTTTCATTATGTAATGTTCTGCTTTGTTTTTCAGTTATTGTTAACATAGAATTAGAACAGAGACATTGTATTGTCATACATATCTGGACACTTAGCTAAAATTATTTTAATAGCCTGTTTAAACAATAATTACATTTGTTTTGGAACACATTTTCAACAGGTTTATTTAAAGAGATAAAGTACTGAGAAGATATGAACATTTCCTCTCTGGAGTGGTGATTCGATACTTTAAGCTTTGACCTAAATGCCAGACATGCTACACTTCAGAATACAAAATCAATACAAATTCCACCTTTTGACCTCTCAATTTTTTCTCTGTTGTTTCAGATCAAGAAGACCAAGTTCACGCTCATGTGTATTGCTTGTTTACTGTTAGTTATGCTTTGATTATCTTAATAATTTATACTGTTTTGTATACCTTTTTTAGATCCACTGTTTAATGAAAAATAATCGATTTTAAAACACACTAAAGCATTTAAAAACATGAAAGATTTTCTACTCTCAACCATATCTGTCTCTAGAATTCTCATTCAGTATTTCTCTTTACTTTATCATCAATCACAGTGCCTCCTTTTTATAGATCCACTCTTTCTTTCTCTGCAAGCAGCTCTTTCAAAGTAGAAAATAGGGATAATATGAGGAAGGCTGACCACAATCCCTAGAGGTGGAGAAACTACTTTCATTCAATCTGTAGTGGGTATAACCACCATTACTCCTGCTTAAAGTTCTCCCAGGGGATGGAGCCAGGGCTGCCTTTATCAAGAGTCAGGATGACACCATCCTTTCATTTACAAAAACGGAGCTTGCAGAATCCATTTATAACTGATAATAAATGCTGGAATTAACTCAGTCAACCTGAACATGTTGTGCACTTAGTCATAAACATTAAGAAAGGCTTTCCTTTTGCAAATGAGACACCTTTTATACTGTATTTAGCTCCTGTTCCCACACTATTAGGTACATGTTAAAGTAATAATAATGTTAGAAACTATAAGAAGATGCATGTAAAATCACTGCTCAGTCTCAGTTTGATAATTGTACACACACATTTTATATTTAATTTTTTTAATTAAAAAATTAATGGCATTATGTTGTATTCACTAGTTTGGTAAAATTCTAATGAGATGAGTCAACAAATATAGAGGGGTAGCGTAATTAATAATTAATTTTTCTGGAGGAAATGAGAGTGAAATGAGAGTGATGGTCTGAGATCAGGCTGTCATCCTAAATGGATCCCTATCACACCATCAAAGATTGTAAACATTGAGCTTAGTACAAGCCAGTTTGGCTACAGTTTTATGGGAACCAAGCAGGATGTGCATATACTGTAGCATGGATTGAATGAGAAGCATGTATGATGCACGCTTGAGCTTGTTTGTTAAGAGTAGATTCAGATATGCAATGTTTCTGAACAACACTGACTGTAAATTAAGTGAATGAGAAGCACTATGATGAGGGCGATACAAAATAAGTCAGTGAACAGGCAGCATTAGCAGCTTGCGACGCTAGCATGAGTGGTTAGGTAAGGCTGGAACTCTGTGGCGGGCAGCCGAAGACACTGCAGCACCCCTGAAGAGTATCGTGACATGAAAGTAAGAAGATAACTATAACTTACTGAGGTTTTCTATATTGAATGCATGAGGACATATAATGAGAACAAAGTTCAAGAGGTATTTCCACGGTCCACTGTTTAATTAAGGTGAATCTGCAGGTTGTGTGGTCTGCCTAAGGGCAAGATCCTAAACTTTACTCAACCACCAACATGTCCTTTCACATGTTTTTTTATTGCATTACACTTTTTCCCCTTTTAAGGACATTTCAAATACTGCTTTGTGCAACATTATAAGTATACAGTACATGTACAAAACACAGCATGTAAAGTAATGAAATAAAAATATTTAAAAGAGAACAATTTTAGCAGCATTTGAAAAGAGATTTTAAACCTGAAAGGACTATTATAGATGGATAAAAGCACAGACAAAACCTTTCTCATAACAGGGATAATGAATTTAAATGATAAGATTATAAGAGAATTATTGTTTAATGACAACAATCCATGGATATACTGTAGTAAAGGAAAAAAAGATGAGTGCTCTTTATCCTTCCTGCCAACTTGCCTTAGTAGGTTATTTAATCATTTATTTTTACTTCAAAAGGAATTAAATTGCAGCACTAGCTATTTATAGTGCAAAGGTGAGCTGAAGTAATTTGTCAATGGCAAAAGATTTAGGTCTCTGCTCGGCTCTTTTTTTCACCAGTTCTTTTTCTAGTAAATTAAAACTAAGCATTCACTTACAGTGGGCAGTGATAACCTTTCCTCAACCCTTCCCTTGTCAGTAAGAACTGAGAAGAC